TTCGCTCCAGCTCTTCAGCTTCACGACGCTCGACTTCCTCCAATTCCGCAATCTCCTTATAACCACGAGCAATGAAATTACTAGCACGTTTTTGCAACAAACGCTTTTGTTTCTGGAGACGAAGCAGTTTCAAGAGCCCAGCCTCCTCTTCCTCCAGCGAATTTTGAGACTAATCGCCACCATTCGGCATCAGAAAAAGTCGGGTTCGACATCGTGTACTTGGCACCACCACCCGCCTTTACACAACCAGAACAGCGATCGGAACAGTCGGATTGTACGCACGCTCGTTTAAGTCGAACACAACGGTCGCAGGGGACAAACGACCGATAACCTTCCTCCTCGATGCGAGCACTAAGTTGACTCTTGCGGACCGAGGACTTGGAAGACATAATCAGAAAAGACTCGAAATATGAAAGGGAAAGGGACGCCCGCCCAGAGGTACCTACTATTTATGTTTCCGAGGAAGAAAACACAGAAAGGAGGGGATGATGTTACGGATCTCTTAGAACAACCCCACTCCTGAGCACACCAGAAATACAACGAGGCCCTATCTAGTACACCGCCCCAGGAGCGATGGGGTAAGATGACCTCAAGAAGATTGTCATAGGACATGACACGGCCATCACGTGACATGCCAGATCAGTGATCGATACGAACATACCATGATCACGTGCAGAAGGGAAAACCGTGGTGTTTCCGCCAACACCTCCTGATACGGAATAACACAAGGGAACAGCGGACTACGAGGCCAATGAGCGCACGACAAGCACAGACGTGGGACCCAGACCATCGTAGGATGGGAGACATCCCAGGAAGAAGAATCTCCTACAAAAGGGACCATCACGAGAAATCACGTGAAAGGACTCGTCGGTGATGAGAAGGAATAGGTATATAAGGACGCTCTTTCACATATGTATTTAGTTTTTCGTGATCAATTGCACATTGTTACTTGGATACCACCTTTGGTCTTATTCACAGTTCACCGTGACAACCATCCTACGAGTAAGGGAGCTACTTCGGTACTGACCTATTCGGCGCACACTCAACTGGCACATCTTCGCAAGCACCCATCAGGATCTATCTGTATAAGGCCTGGCGTGGCATCAGTATGGTTGAGGGTAGGCTTGAGGCTCGCAGTTACAAAGAGAAGTATCACCTTTGAGGACCAACTCACAGTGACCAGTTAGGTACCGTAACACTGAGCTAGTAAAAAGTTAATATATTAAGACAGACTTACTAATACCCTTATCTTAATAGTCCTAGTTATAATAGCCTTTATAGCGGCGGTTAGCTTACAGAGTTATACCTAAGTAGCCCTTTACGTGAGTCCGTAGGTTACTGGTGTTCGAGAAAGCGATCTTAAACAAAATATTAATCTCTTCTACTTAGAGTAGTTAGGAATATAGCAAAAAAGCTTTCTACCATAGAGAATAATATTACCTTTTTTATCCTATATAAAAATAATATATTAGAAATATATAAAAAATAGATAAAAAATAGATAGGTGGGTCGAGTAGGCAGGTACTAAGTTGATTTTAGTGTGGTAATACAAAGATGTAATTTTTAATGAATTATAACTAGCCAATCATAATACGTTTACACAAGCTAATTCCACACTTCCAACTATGGACCCAACACCAACCCAACCCAACATCTGATCTGGGTTCAGGGATTCCGGGTAACTTATTTGGGCGGATTGTCAGCTGAGAGTGGGATTCTGTGTCTTTTGATAGTTAAAATAATTTGAAAATGATCCTCTCACCACCTTTCTATTCTACCAATAGGTGTGCGATTGAATCCTAGCGAGGATTGACGACTAGTGGGACGCTTGATTTACAAGAATCAAGGCTCACAAGGAGAAGGATAAGTAGAACCACAGCCCCACCGACTCGAACACTCAGGGACTCGCTCCCCCCTGGATCCCAATGATGATGAACGTCTTCTGTTTGCTCCTTATTATCGGGCTGGCCTTTCTGCAAGGAGCGCTGTCAGAACCAGAATGGAACGATGTCGATGGGATCGACCGGATTAGCGCCGCGAGGCGCCTCCAATGGCCCGACGACTGCAACCCCTCCTATTGCACCGATTTTGAAATGGACGAGACGCTCCAGGAAGCCGCTCTGCTCACGTATAATGCGAGACGAGCTATCGACGTTATCCTCGGCACTAAAACGGACAAAGTAGTCGCCAAAAACTCGAGGAACGAGCGATTCCTACAAGCAGCAAAAGCACTATTTCATATTGATTATGGGGATGCGCCGGACAATCCGAAGATGTGGGCTGTTGCCCAGGACAAGCGCTTTATTCTGTTCTATGTGAAAGGTCTTCCCTTCTCTCCCCAGAAGTACTACTCCCTTACCAACCCATATGTCTCTAGAATTCTTTGACCGGGTCTACCAGTTCCTGAAGCAGGGGGGTGTTTATAAGCCTAAGATGCTCTGCGGTGACGAGGACATCAAATTCGTGACTAAGATGAAGGAAATTGGAGGAAGGCCTCCTGATGAACCAATTTGGAAGGCAAAGAATGAAGATAGTAGGTCGATCAGAATCCCCCCCCCCCCCCCCCCCTTTTTTTGTGGAATTTCGAAAGCACTAACAATGGGCCTTCTACAGAGAAAACCACTCCGGGGTGGTATATCTCCAACTTTTACTCCCCAAAGGATAAAGAGGGCAACCGCATCGAAGATAGAGTGGTCCGTATTCACACCGACAGGCCTATCTGCAGACGCCGCCCTAGTAGTGATGGAATGGTCGTTGAAGGCCAGACTTTTCGCGACGTCCGAGTGATCGTCCTCTGTAATCATATCTTTGGCTATAAGGAGCTTGAAAAATTGATAAGGGACCAAAAGAGACTTGCAGTGGGCACGTCTCTAGACACCCAGGACACACGGGGGGCAGTATGGCTCCATGAATATTTGCATTATATTTCTCCTGAAAGTAAGTTCCTGTTTTCCTGCCGAGGAATGGGTGGAAAGAGAGAACCAAAGGAGTCTAATCCAGAAACCATGCAGTGACGGATCAGGAAATCGACGTTGGGACAGGCAAGCAGAGAGCGTATGATGTAGACCTCTGCATGGCCTTGGCCCGCAAGAGTGCGTCAGCAAAAGAAGCCAGAGATAATCCCGAAAATTACGTCAAGTTAGCGACAGCCGTCAGTCTAAGGAGGGTAAAATGGTTTCCTAGTGGGAAGAAGGCGAATTAAACCGAGGCAGAAGATTTGCGTGATAGTCGGTGAGCCTAAAGTCTGTTCTTGGTGATGTTCCTAGGTTTGCTATCCATGATTATTACACACGGGGTTTACCTACGTTATTCAATTTTGCTAGCCACGATGGCTGAGCCTGTATAGTCAATCGTTGGCTGCCTCTTAGGCTAAAATCAGTCCATAACCCCGAAACAATACCGTGAGACGATAAATTTACCAGCGCATAATAAGCGTTCTTCATTTTTATTGCCATGAAATAAGAAATGAAATAATATGAACTTCCAAAACAAGAAATTCTTAATCCAGTAAGAAATAGCGAAGAGCCTCTGATAGTTCAAGATGGGTACTGGAAATCAGTCGATATTCATGTTTCGAGAGGGCGGTTAAGCCATTTTCAGATCGACAGAAATTACTGATTAGTTATTGAGAAAATTGACAGAAACATTCAGGCTAAGAAAGGTCACGCACACACCAGGGGAACCAGGGTATTTTATTGGAGGTTTATGGCAGCAAAGCGACATTAGCTGTATACGGAAGATCAATCCTGACCATGTATGCCGCTCATTTTCTTATTGACCATCAATAGCAGCTGGAAAATAAAGCAATCTTCCAATCATACAGTCTTCCAAAGACGAAATGTATTTGCCAATGCCTGCTGAGAATTTGCCAAAAAATCGTTTCAACCAGCCTGCAATTCCAGAGCAATGACCTTTTACGACGGAAGATGCGGTTTTGCCGTAAGACAAACCGCAGAACCAGGGGGTGAAATTTATGTAAATCGCAACCTACCAACCAAGCACTTAATTCAATGGAGAATGATGAATGCCCGTAAGAATTTGAGGGATAGGAGAACCACAGCAGTATCCAATGTCATGAACCTAGACTATGCAATAAGGAATGAGCCGCTTCATTCAAGGCATCCATACTCGCATATTATCCTCGCCAGTACTTTTCAATGATACGCCCACCAAAAAGCTTGTCTGTCTTAGGAAGCGCTTGCGGTTTCGGCCAATGCAAATTCTCCGGTTAAAAAAAATAATACCTGTGAACCTGCCAGACAGCGACTGAGTAGATAATCCAACCAAGGTGAAGGATTTCGATCATCGCAGTCAAATCGATTCCGCATATGGTGTTCACATCGGCCGCGATTGATAGTAAGATGGACTGACCGAAGTCTGCAAGCTAGAGTTGATCTTCGACAACCAAAATATTGCGAAGAGCGATTTCGTCTAGGAACACTCTACGAGAGTGCACGTATGATAAAGTCTTTGTGAGATACAGTATCCAATCAATTTTGACAAGATCTGGCGGCTCCGGGTTGACCTCGATGTAACTCTCAAGATCGCCGTGTTTCGCAAATGCTAGCTCGATCCCATATTCGGAAGCACAGATGCAAGAGATGATTCCCTTGTGGTCACCCAGACGTTTGTAGATCTGTATTTCGTGTAGCTGCGGCCATAATTCATTGGTCGGAGGCCATCAGCGAGATAGACGGGAATTGTCATATGTTCCATAGAGCCTCCCGAGTACGAAACTCGCGTGATCCTGCAACTTGTGGATGCAGCGGCTTGAGTTGCAGGAGCTGGTTGGCGTCTTCTGCGCTGTGAACAAAGTGGATCCCCCCTCGCGGTCTATAAAGGAGACTACAATTCCACCCAAATGGCAAACTGCAACGCAGCCCTCTCAAAATCTTCTCCTTACCCCTTCCTACTGTGCCTTATACACTGCCTCCTGCCCGTAGTCCTGATCCCGATTTCTCGATTTCTACCTTGCTCAACTGCCTTTTCTTTGGTGCAATATGCCAAGTGATACGTTTCGCTTGGAGTCTTTTCGGCAGTGGAAACCTTTCCAGAACAAATCGCAGCCTCCGCGGGAATCTCTCGATGTTTGTCATTATCCAAGTCTTGTCTCGATCACCGCCACGTCTACTTCGTCAAATTCTCGTGGCTCACCGAGGTACCCAAATGTTCATTCTCATACGTCCGAGCGACACCCCCTTCCTCCTCGACCGCCGGTGGAGGTTTGCTTGAACGACAGCCTACCACAGGAGATAAGCACCCAGCACCAACCCACTGTGGTGAATCAGACATCATGCTTGGACCTCGGAGTTGAGGCGCTCGACTTCGAGGATACTCCACACCTGCAGGATTTATCCAGCCCTGGAGATGAGGCCCATCCGCTGATCTGTGATAGCTTGGGCTAGGATCCTCAATACCCACTCAGCTTTGAATCGAGCGACTTAGGGCTCACCCGCACTGCCAGTCAGCACTCTCAGGTCAGCCATGCTGAAGGTTCTGTTTTGACTCGGGAGAGTTGCGACACAATGATTGATCCGGCAATTTTTGAATGTTTATCCTTTGCGAGATATTGAACAAACTCCGGCCAGCAGAGAGACCGTGGACGTGGTGGCCTATTCTCATTCGCCGGACAAGACCGTGCGTGGCCACAACCGCAGCACATGACCAAGATCGCAAAGGGCAATGAAGCCGGGGCGGCAGCGGTCCAAAATTAACAAGGTTTCTGTCGTGAACTATCAGCGCATGGAAAATGCCGGCCAGAGCACTCGAGAAAACCGCCCCGTTAAAATGCCTTTTTCTATTCTTCGGAATCAATTCACTTCTCTACCAATAGAAGAGCGACTACAGTTTTTGTTCTGGATGTTTGTGGGTGCGCTGTCACAATGCCTCCATATACCCTCCCGCTCCAATGATGTATCAAATCCGAATGATACCTCGAAAGAGGAAGGAGTCACGACTTTATCAGCTGAGCAACCAAGCGGAGAGACCAGAGTTGCCCATGGAAAAAATCTTTGTTTCTCAAGAAAAGTATTACCTTGATTGGCAGAAGAGAATCGCCTTCAGGTGCAACTTAGGGGGAAGAATCTCTTGCCTGGTCGGGAGTGTTTAAGCGATTTGATCAGAGATTCCCGGGGAGGAGTCAAGATTCTATACAAGTATACTGGAGCACGACACTCAAGAAACAGCTGGCATCGTAGCGGAGGACGTGAAAAATGCCATCTTTATCAAGCCATGCCATCTCCCAGTACCTTTCAGTAATCCAATTAGTCGCCTTGGAGTTCTGGGAGTAGAAATTTATTCTCTAAACATTGGCCAAGGTGGAGTCCTTGACCGACACGTTTTGACCTTGGCAAGAATCACAGAGAGGCGCGACAAATATTTGCAACAAGCACGTTTTTCCCCGGTTTTTTATTGTGCTCTGGATCCACGTGCTCGTCTCAAGCCTTTGCTGTTCTTAGCCCACGCAGATGGGGTTTCTGCACGAAGGCTGCCTTGCCCTCAAAAGGAAAAGAAAAGTGCCGTTGGGAGTCTTAGAATTTGGAGATTTGAAACCAAAAAAAATCGATGAACAGCTCTCAAGCATAGGCGTGGTCAAGACACGATACTCCCATGAAATTGTATAGGCACTATCTAGACAGTGCCAGTCGCCAGCAAATAATCCACCATCAACCACAATAGTCTGCCCATTAAGGTACTGGTTCGACGTAGTAAAGAGAATGGCCCCGGCCATATCTTCGTCTTTGCCTGGGCGTCCAGCTGGAACTTTGCCTTCAAACTTCTCCTTGGGGATATTGCTCTTCTGTTTTTCATCACTACCCTCAGTGGTCATTTCTGATGGAAAGACACCTGGGGCAATATTATTGACACGGATCTTGAGATTGGATGTGACCAACTCGTGCGCAAGCATTTTAGTTAGATGCACAGCGGCCGCTTTGCTCGAGTTATACGCGAAATGATGCTGAGAGGACTTGACAAGACCAGAAATCGATGAGATATTCACGACGGTACTAGACCAACCGTGCTCCTCGACAGTTCTCTTGTTAAGCAATGGAAGGAACGCGGTCGTTGTGAAGAAGAGTTGCGTCACATTTGTCCGCATTACTTCTTCCCATTCTTCAACGGAGTCTTCATTTTTGAATAGCTCTTGTTGGAGCTGCTTGGGATCTTCCAGCTCTGTGTTCTGAGTCAAAGAGCTGATGCCAGCGTTGTTGATCAAGATGTGCAATTTGCTCTCCTTGGCCGAGATTTCATTCACTAATCGTTGGATAGACTGTTTTGAGGTGACATCGGCAGCAATGGGAATAATCTGTCCCGGGATTCCTTTGGAATACAGCTCCGCAACACGGTCAAGTTTCTCGCCGGTGCGACCCGTAATGTAGACTTTGGCACCATTCACAGCGAGTGCTTGGGTTGCCATTAAGCCAATCCCGGAACCGCCGCCGGTGACAAGACCAACTATAATTCATTAGCATTGTTCAAAAAGCATTTTTAAGCTAAATATCCCCTACCTCTCTTCCTGACGCTGAAGACATTCTCCAGCTTGAAGTTCTGGTTATGATTTTGCGCAGACATCTTTTGCAATGATGACGTTCAGGAAGAAAATGTTAATAATACTTCTTTTACTCAATAATTAGATTGCGTTATCGATTGGAAATTTGGCTTTTTTAAAATCTCAGCCAGGCCGCTTCCTACGTACCGGTGCTGCAGGTAACTAGGTTTGGCAGAAAGCTGGAATGAAGTTTGACATCATACTGATCGCAACGTGATATTGCGACTTTGTTGCGTTTCGTTTATCTGTGGCCCGAACTTGTTTCAAGATCCATGGGTTTCTGGCTTAGGAGAGTTTCAAAAGGTTAGCTAAGGCTCGAATCGATCGAACCAGGTGTTGGCAAGATCCTGAAAATTACAAACTCACCATAATGCAAGGCCACGGTTAAGCGGGGTAAAGAGGCTAGCTATTGTGTGACCATCTCATTATAAGAAAGGGGCCTGTCACTACCTCTATTCTTCATTTAGATTTGGGCATGCACCCACTATAGCCGAGTCCATGACTTTTGATTTGGGACCTAATGGGTTGTTTTGTCGTTTGGAATCGATTTATGGAGGCTGCTATGTTCGTTCTTCCTGGCAGCTTGGACGTCATTCTCTTTCAATTGTTGGACTCAGGATCCACAAGTCGATCCCACGGTACATACATATGGATAGTTTGGTTGATCTGGACGGGATGTGGAGCGAGCGATCGCCTGCTGAGCAAAGCGCGAAGTCTCTGCCAATCATATCCATAGTTCAAGAGCTGCCATCTGAGAGCAGCAATTCCGATATCGAAATGTCCATATCCAAACTGATGGCGTCAGGCATTCCCAGTCGTTCGAAATCCGGTTATTTCACCTTTTCTTGTTAACCTTGCTCTGTGTCGCACAATATATATAACTTACTATTTCTGACTCCTGTCGTGAGCAGCTCCCCCAGTACTTTTTCTGTAACACCGCAGAACCGGTAAATAAATATAGTTTGACCAATCAAATAGAATAAACCGCCAACTTCGAATCCCAATGGCGCTGCTGATTGGCAATTCCAATGCCAACTTCCTCAACCAAGACGCCCGTTCGTACGCCCGTTCTTCCCGGTCCGAATCCATTCTGGCTCAGTCCGGTCAATTGATCCCAGAGTGATAAAGATGCCTTAATAAAGATATTGCGCGAGCAAAGAACAAGAACCAGCATGGAGGTTGATAAAGGTTATAACGACACATGCCCCTTGTAGCCCCTCCGAAAGCCTCGCCCATCGTCCAAAGCTTATATTTCGCGCGACAGTGTCAGCCCAGAAGAGCTAATTACCTCGAACGGAAGCGTCTTGCCGCAAATAGATATCGGCTGAAGAAGAAGATTGCAAAAATACAAAGCATCATGAACGACGAAACGGCCAGGCGACAAATGCTCTTGGCCGAGATCAATATGTTCAAGAAAGAGTTGTGATATCTCAAAAACAGGATCCTTGCACACGCGAATTGCGACAATCAGCCGATCAACACGCAGCTTGAGTTAATGAGCCAAAACGTTCTTGGAACGAACCCAAATACACTGAACGGCCCATCCCCGGTAAACGTCATTATTCGGATATGTAAAAAGTAGTTCGTTACTAACTAGGCACAGCGTGATTGTCTGGTCAGGGCCAGCTAAACAAATGGATAACTATCCGTGCAGAACCCGTTGAATCTTCCAAGGCGCGTCCTAATGTCTATCCGGCAGGGAGCAAAATTCGGCATCAATTTCTGGTCTTACGAGGCAATGATGTCCACAGAAAGCCTCATTTTCATGCTACTTCTTTTATCGCGATGACCCAATGAAGATCGAGAAATAATTATCCAAACCAGCCACATCCTCCATGCCTCCTACCCATGCCACATGCTGATCCGGTCGACATAGTACTAGACACCCTGGGCCTTGCTTGTCAATACCGTATCCTGTGTATGCTTGATCCCGATCATCCGCAAACACCCTCCAGTAGTCCCATCCCATGAAGTCATCATACGGGTGAAAGAGCTCCGGAAGATCCAGCAGATTGACTGCACTCCTAGGGCATGACTGAATGAGGAGAAACTCAATGGTAGGGCAGCGCCACCACTGAGACTGAATCTGCTGTAAGTGACCGAGATGAGAACGATTGCTGAAGGTTTCCGTGAAGCGAGTCAAACCGTGCATCGTCTCTGGTTGACGTAGATCGCCCGGAAAAACCAGTAGTCTCCACGCCCCGTCACTCACAAGCCTCTGAGCCAGTTGTACAGGGGCTCCATCACAGTGAAAAACAACAAGGAATGACGGTAACCGTGCGCCAAGCTTGATATTGCGCGCAAGGTTTGGGTCAACAGTCTCCTTTCCAGTCACCAAGATACTATCGGAATAGGTGACATCGATACCGGCTATGAACCCAGCATACTGGCCTCGAATCTCGTAGATTCCACTCGAGGTATCTTTCTCCTCCATCTCATATGCTTGTACAAGACGGGAGTCTAGATCCATCAATGTCTTGGCAACCGGTCGCCGTTCACTATCGTACGTTGCCAAGATCATGGCATTGGCACCATTGGTAATGACTGCAGCCAATTTCCACATCAGGTTGTAGGTGTCTTGGATGGATACATTCATACCCTGGCCTCCCTTCGGCGAATGTGTGTGGGCCGCATCTCCAGCGAGAAAAACGCTAATAAATATATATAAGTCCTCGGTGTGCATGGAATGAAGATTGCTTCTTACCGCTCCTGAGGTATGTAATGTCTGGCTAGGCGTCGGCCGATCTTTTATATCATCATTAGCATGGAGTTGTTGTAATAAAATGCACTGTCATACTGGGTAAATAGACCACCAGTCACAATGATTATACGTCAAGTCATATGGCTTCATTATCGCCTTGGCCATTTCGACCATAGCCCCCGGAGAGCAGCTGGGATGCTGCATGGCGGTTTCTTCAAGGTCGCGAAGATGGATATAAAATCGGACTAGTCGATTTTCTCTCGGTACTGTCATGATGCTTCCGTGAGGCTGAGAGTTTATCGAGCAGGATCGTCGGATATCAGCTAAATTCCGGTCAGATTCGGTATTCTGAGCGGGAAGGTATAATATACGAAAGTCAGTGATTGGGATTATGTCCAGCACACCCCAGGTTGAATCTTCTGATACTATATCAGTCAGGGCGTTCAGTTGGTTCCCGGTCCAGCTATGCGCGCCATCACATGCAACGAGATACCGTGCGTGAATTCTTTCTTCTAGTTATCAGTTCATTGTTAGCCCACTAGCATGCTCCCAATTAATGACAAGAAAACACAAGTGATCTCATACCATATTTTTTGGCACCTTTCACCCCCACTGTGATTGGAGATAGCAGCGGATTTTCATCCGGAGCTGCCGAGACATGTAAGGATACAGCCTCTTTATTCCATTCCACAACCACGACCCCTTTTCTGATCAAGTAATCGTTGAGCACTCGCTCGATAGCGCCTTGGCTTAGCAGCACTTGACCAAATCTTGAAGCTCCTCCTGGTTCTGAGTCAAACGATCTCTGTCGCTCGATGATTCCTTCGCTGTTTTTGGTTGCCTAGTAAGTCAGTCACGAACACAAGAGTGGGCTGTGCCTATTATTTACCCAGTGGCATGTGTCGACGTCAGGAACTCCCTGCTTTAAGATGGGATCGACGATGCCGAAGCTCTCTAGTATTTCTAAGGTCCGGCTTTGTAGCCCATCGGCATGACCTGTCTTCGTTGGGCCCCTTTTTCGATCAATAATACGAGTCGACATGTCGTACTGAGCTGCCCAACATGCTGCTATGAGCCCTGCAGGTCCAGCCCCAATGATTAAAAGGTCCACGCTTTCATCTTTGATAGTAGCGGCTTGCTTTGCGGTGCTTCCTAAGCTGTCATGCCGGGCCTGGGAGCCCTTCGCGGCATTCTTAGTCATGTGATTTGCAGCCTTATTGGCGATACCCTTATCAGAGTTGGAGACGAAACTCGTGGTGTTCTAGAGTCAAGCTGTAAGTCTAGGACAACATAATTGTGATATGTTTCCACCTACTCTGAAGGTATCCATAAGGGACGAAGGCGTCGAATAGACGTATATGATCAGACTTCCATGTAGTTTGGAGGGTTTCCGCGAGCTATTTGTATCCTTACGCACGAGGCTCGAACCTCAGCCATTCACCAACTTACGACAAGAAATATTGATTACGTCATTTGAAGGTCAGAAATAACGTAACCGGTAAGCGAGCGGGTCATGTAAGCGAACGGGTCACCCAACAAAAATCACCCTCCGGTGGACACCCAGCTGAGGGTGCCCCCTTAACTCGCAAGTCGACTGGGCCCCAAAATATTTTTATTACTTAATCTTATTTAATACACACAAAAAGAAAATTCTCAACTTTATATTATCACCTCACTATGCCATCTTCACAGTATTTCTATAGTCCCTTATTCGGACCTCTTTTCGACGACCAGAAATTATTAGTCCACCATTGCACCTATCTGAACTCCTCTCTTCCACACAACGCATAACTTATGCTCTTGATCATATTCTTTATGATGTAACTGATATAAGTTTGCCACTTTTAATAAACTAAGCATATATTAAGCATGTAAAACAGCGAAGTTACACCTTCGAGGATAATCCACCAGTAGTTTCTTTAGATAAGGAAGAAGATAATAGTTTATCTAAATCATAACAATAAACAGTCTTTTTATCAATCAGAATCAGATAAATAATCTACGCAGTCTCTATCCCAATTTAATATAGGGTTAACACAAACTAATATTTATAAGTACGGTATTACTATTAGTACAAGTACGTATAAATCAGTTGTTGCTTCTAAAATCCAAGAACATCTTCTATTGCTAGAATACCTAGCAACATACCGTGAAGGGGTTCTTTATCTTGTTTACCTTAAAGAGGACCTGTTACGAACCGCTAACTGGTCACGGTGAGTAGGGTCCTCAAAGGGTGATACTTCTCTTGGAATACTGCGAGCCTCAAGTATAGTCCGCAACCGTACCAACGCCACGCAGGGCCTTAGATGGACTCGGGTCTCTAGGGTACTTGCAAGGTGTGACAGTTAGGGCGCCGATCAAGTCAGTCACTTAGGGATCAGAGATCACTAAGTAAGCTCCCAAGATCGTTGAGGTTTTTGGCTTTATAGTCGAACTGTGAACTGGTACTCAAGTAACAATGGTGCGATTGATCACGAAGAACTAAATACATGTGGTGAAGACCGTTCTTTATATATCTAGCTCCTCTCACCGTGCGATGAGTCCGGGACTCATCGCCTGGTATCTTCCGAACTCATCGCTTGATGAGTTTCGTCTCATCGCCTGATGAGTCTCCTCACGTGACCCCATGAGTCCCTTGCGTTACTCCGTATCCTGGGGTGTTGGTGAAACCGCCACGGTTTCCCTTCTGGTCACGTGATACTGACGCCGTGTCTCGAGACAGTTCTCCTGGGAGTTCCTCCTTAGACCAGTGGTCCCAAGGCGGTGTATCTGATAGGGCATCGCTGTTTCTTCGGTGTTCTTGGGAGTGGGGCTGTCCTGGGAAGTTCGTAACATATATAGTCCGTCGGGCTTATATTCGCCTTAATAGTTATATAGTCGATACTTAGGGCGAATAGGAATATCTCTACTAACCACGTTATTATTAGCTAATAATAAAAAATAAAGAAATATAGCCTCTACCCTACTAATTTAAAGAGCCTCTTCTAATAAACCTTGAATACCACAAATCAAGAAGCCACCCAGAGCCGCTCGTTGCTGCCGAAGTATAAGACGTACTAGAATCTGTGCAATTATCTCAATTGTGAAACATGGCTTTATGATGTGACCAGTATGCGATATTGAGCATGGACCTCGAGGATAGAGTCACCATTGATGATTTAAAAAATAGCTTTGTCATCGATTTGTATTGATAGCTGATAGCCAATAAAGACCTTGTGCCTTTCTAGCCCGAACATCCTCTCATGGCAGATTGAGCCAGTACACCCACAGGAGCTGAAGAAATACAAGAACAGCCTCAAAAGCCTTTTCACCTATAGTCTGTAACTCACGACGTGAAGGCACTGGGCGGGACTGCGTAGCCGCAGAGGTATCGTTCTCTGGGGGCGGGGTCGCCTTTTTCTTGCTGCCACGAGGAGCCCGCGGGGCGGCTACCGCTGGTTTGGTAGAAGATATTCCGGTCCGTTTTGCTGGAGGCCGGGCTTGGGATCCGGGTGGGATTCCTGCGGAATGATCCGCATCATCCTGGTGCACAACCTCATCCGCGGGCTGAGTGCTCATGTGTTTCATACTCTTCGGCGGCATCTTGATTATAGGAGAAGTTGATGCCAGGTTCGGCTCGTCGCAAGTACAATATATATAGTGAATTGGGGTGCACCAATGATGCAATCGGCCTTTTTTTGGAAAATTTGTGAACACCTTTCCCCGGAGATCTAAAATCGGATTTACCTCTGATGGGGTTCTCTTGTTGCCTCCTGAATCGTCCAAAGGCACGTCTAATTTTAGACAGGTCCAAATAAGAACGTGTGTACAGAAATGATGTCGATGGCTCTATAGAGACAGATTGCTATTTATAGGAGAGACAACAGCTATATATAGGGTGGTTCTGCTCAACCCGATCTGAAGCTCTGACGGGGGAGTGAATTTGCTTCCTTCCTTTATCCTTGGCGAGCAAATGACATGGGTGGCTGTAGCCGCTGGTTCAAGGCCTAGGGAAAACCGACTATTATACATTAGCAACCCACCGACCACTTCCACAGGGTGACTGATATACGCTGTAGGTAATAGACCGTACTGACCCCAGACTCCGTCCCCGATAGTAGGTGTCCCAGCCCACCAGACGAGGTATAGAACAGGACAAACTGGCACGGGTGTTGCTACAATACTAGAAAACTTCATTCGTAGATGATAAGCCGCGTGCTAAATGTTAAATGGACATGGCAGGCTCAATGGATCTCTCACAGGAGCCCGGACCCCGTTTGGAGATAAAATTCTGGAGTAGTACATTGAAGTACCAAGGCAGGTTGAACAACTTTTTTACTTCCTTCCTATACATCCTCCACTAAAGGCCCATTGTTAGCTGAAGCGAAAGAGCAAGGAGGCTACACAACCTTACGAGAGTCATTTAACCACTGGGTTATATCGGGCGGGGACGTCAAAGTGGCGGCGGTAGAGAGATGTTGCTTGCAACAGGTCTGGTGCTGGGTTTTTTCATTAAATCCCCATGCCTGGATCTCCAAGGCCTTGACCTGCCCTTCGAACAGGCTTAATTGACGACGGATAGATTTATAGGAACGCGCGGTTGGGCGAGACCTCAGGCGTGGCTTGTGGAAACGCTTGATCTTGCGAGCAGACCGCTTGTATTTACCCATTCTGGGTGTGGCACGACGAAATAAATTAACGAGGATATTGCTAAACAGAAAATTGTCCTCGACTGACGGATTTCCGGGTTTAATAAGTAGGGTACGGCAAAAGACTTCGTCCACGGGGTTATTCGCCACTCGGGGATTACATACCAACCATCGAACCTTAAGACCCCACCTAGGTAGGGTCCCTGATGGAAGCGGGAAGCGGCAACATCAATTAGTGAGAGCCTCCGCCCATGGCAAACCAAGAATGTATCACTTTTTAGGGAAGGAGCTACATATAGTATATAACCTGTTTTTTAGCTAAATTCACGAGTCCTCACAAAAGCTCCTGCTCTAGCAGTCGTTTCGATGGCAGTTGCAATAAAAAGCCCATGTAATTTGACCCAAGGTTTTTAATTCCGTATTGCAATCCATGTCTTCTTTTCCACCCACCTATAAGGCCGTTCGAGGTGCACTAGGAGGTAAAATCTCTGATCATATCCCTAAGATCATTGATGCCAATCCATGGAGCAACGGCAACATTTGAGCCAGTGATCTGAACCTCTATTGCACATGACTCTTTGTGTATATAGTAGAATTCGAAAACAGTTTACCTCTCGGACACTCAGGCTTTCTTTTCCAGACGCCCCACTTCTAACAGCACCAAACTAGATTCGGTCAGAAAAAGTCCCACTATATCTTGATATATTTGAAGTAGATCAACAGTTACCGTAACCACAGGTCTAGATATTGCTCAAATCATACTTGCTGAAATGCCCACCGGCAATAAGCCAGAATACGGAAACTTATTACGTGCCCGTATTACGTTTCGTTATTTTGGTCGGGATGTATCTAGTGTGTTAAAAGCAGGTTGATAATCAAATAAAGGGCCTGACCTCTTGGATGCCAAATAATCGAAACAAATATGTCCCTTTCACCCGCAGATGCGCAACCCTGATCATCATTTCTGATTATCGCTCGCTTCCTTCACACGACGAGATGAAGTGCCTAGGTATTTCCGTTGATTAATGGTTGTGGTCTATTATTCGAGAGTCATCGCCAGTAGATACGAGTAGGACATACTCCGGGCACGTTTGCCTTCTTCATCAGTTGGGGAAGCCCTCAGAATTGGAGACAGTGCTTATCCGTTACACGGCCTGAGCTTTGCCCTTGAGAAGGCGCGGCTAGTATCCAAGGGAGATAGGCTAATTACGTTGCTACAGCCGCATTCCACATAGGATGATTTAAATAGCTTTTTAGCAGGCATACGCGATTATGGGACTCGAAGCTGTTTCCGAATTAATAACTACCGTAAATAATATCAAAGCGAGTTTTGATGACATCAGTGTATTTAACCCTATACCCCTCATTAACGAAGCCGCTATAGGGGCAGATAATTCATCTATCATTGTAAAGGCGCACAATGTATTTGCGGACATGGTTAGAGCCAAAAATCCGGAAATTGGTATATGCTGCTTCAGGACAGAGTCCCGTAACACCTTTGTTCAAAAGCTTCGCGGTCGTGGAGTAGGGAGGATTTTTAACGAGGACAAATTGGCGCCAAAATCAGTCGACCTATTCATACTCACCCCACTTGGACAGTTTATGTCGACTCTGGCCCTGTGATTGGCTCCAACCTCCCCTACCGTGTAGTTCTGCTGTATCCTTTTTAAAAAATCGTTTTCTTTTTTAACATTTTCATTTT